TTATCGGAAAATTGTAAGCATCGATATCGAAATAGAGAATATTAAATATTTTGTAACAGCTGAATGGGTAAATATCTCTATCTTTATACCTACACACATATATATATATATATGTATATATATTCGCACTAAAAATTATAAGTTTTTAACAAAAGTCACGGTTTTGTTTTAAAAATCACGCTGATTTAAAATTACTGTTATGCCCACTTCCCATAGAGTCCATCCGTTCGAAACGGTTGGGATTTTGACAAATGTGAAACTCCGATTCCCACAGAGCACATTCACCATCCGATAACAGCTGATCTGAACAGCTTTGGATAATCATTCTACCCTGTTGCATTTTGCACAACATCTGAAATGAGTACAACAGCGCTATACTTGGTAACAGGCTCCAAGTGACCTTCGCGAACAACTAAAACAGGTAATATGTCTGCAAGTTTTTTGCAGCCTGCAGAAAAAATAAGAACGGCTACATATATCCCAATATTGTATAAGTGGTAACAAATCATGTTCATTAAATTATCCCGGCTCCAGTTTTGAAAATTATCTAAATCGGATTGTAAGTGTAAATGGCAAGAAATCCTTATACTACAGGCATAATTTAACATGCGTGCATAAGTATGCGTTGAATGGTCTAAATTATAATAAGTTAAAAAAATAAGGCAAATAAATCGTCTGTTGTCTGATATGTGGTTGCCCTCATGTCATGTCATCATGTCATTCCTTCATGTTCAAGCGAAAACGAGGAAGAATAAGAATTACACTTACGCATGGTTAACAATGTTATAAAAGGTCCTGCGAGTCTCGGCTTAACTAATTATTATAACACTGAGCATTAGGCACTATAGATCTTGTCTGAGCGCTTAAATATCAAGCAAAAATAGATTAAAAGCCGGAATTTTGTTATATTTCTTTTAATGTAAGGTCTTTAGTTTTCTTGATTGTTAAGTCTTTGCAAAGCCTAGGTGATTTATTGGAGATTGACGGATATTACCTCGCAACAAAGGAATAAAATTACACGAATAACACATGAATTGAATAACGTATTAAAGCAACACTAGTGCAGATGCCAGCTAAAAGGCTGCTCAAAAAGTGCGGAAGTATGGCCTTGAAAATAGATTAGATGGCCTTTTTTTTCTTTTTCAATATTTTAGTGCTCTAATCGGTATCTGATGAGGAATCATTAAATAAGTCTTTCTCTACATCTTTATTTAAAATAAGACTGATGTAAAGTGTGATGTAAATGATATTTTCGCAAATCTTTATTTCTGGCCTCGAGAGCGTCTTCTGACATCATACCTATCATACCTACATATACCAAAGACCAATAGAGATTATATTGGTCTTTGCCTATACCTATCGGAAGGACATTTATTTATTATTTCTGCAGCATGCATTACAATTTTATGGACAGATGTAGGCATGTAAAACCATGGACACAAGTCCACAAATATTATTGCGGTCTGCAATGCATAATGTTGAAAAGCTTCTGTATCAATTTCATATCCACACGCTAAGGTGGGTAAGATTACGCTGAATCGATAAATTAATACAGAGCTTACTCCGGCAGCCTTTTTTGGTTCCTTGAAAAATCTTCTGGCTGTGTTACCGTTATTAGTATTACCAGAACCAGGCTTGGGAACATCAACCAATATGCCTATTTCCTTTATTCTAACATCTACAGCTGCTTTTACCGCACTGCGAATTTTCCATTTTTTAAGAATAGTTCTATAGCTAATATGTGAAGTGCAATCATGAAAACAAATACAAGCGTGTAGACCTGATAAGCCATATTAATACAGGTTTTAATTGCTCGGGAAATTTTGTATATCAATAAGATCGCTCATTTTTTTGGTGTTGTTCCACATATTCCACACACTCGGGATGATGATTCTGCCAGAACACTGAACTTTTTAATCTATCATGGTCATATGAAACTTATGATGTACTTCATATTTTTCCAGTCTCGTTGGCTGCATTTCGGCTATTTGACTTTTAAATTTGTTCACTTCATCACGTACAAAATCTTATGTTTCTTTAAGACAACCCAATTTTACTGGCCTGCAATAACGTGTGGATGAAGGTTTCATAGTTTTACAGAGTATTGTTGAACTATTTGTAGTATTACCAAGCACACCGAAAACATATGTTAATCGACCATACAAGCATTTGTGTCGTTAAAGTTTTGACGATATTTTGCAAGGCCACTACTCCCATCACAGCCCCGTTTGTATATTGCAGTTATCGTAGGAATATTGTTATTCTCTGCTGCTGGAAAATCTTTGGCATGTGCGGTATATAATCTGGTAACTTTGTGATTAACCAAGCTTTGTAAGGGTACCTCGAATGAATGATCAGTGATGTTTAGACCACTAGGATATCACTTTTTTTCAGACAGTAGAACAGCGTACGTCGGAAATATATTTGCATTCCGCTTTTTGGTACCACTTTGCCTTCTTTGTGTAACCACCATCAACATATAAAGCTAAGGCTTCCTCTGCTGTGTACTTAATCGGTTGGTTATCAGCTGATTGAGTAGCTAATATCATTTTTTTTGGGCAAACTTTCATCAGAGTTTAATCATCTTAGCTGCACTTCGCTTGCCAGAATTATACAAACTAGTACTAGCCGCAGATACGAGCTCTTCCCACGAAATAGCTTTAACGATGTCCGAAACTTTTTTTTTGCCAGTAAAAGTAAGTTCGGGTCGTCCAGCATTTGATTTTAGGTCCACCAATATATGCTTATAATTTAACCATTCTTTGTTGCTTACCTTAAAATTCTTACGTATACGATGGTTCTCCTGCCATTTTGATGCCAATTTATTGGTAAAATTTTATATTTTCTCAGTTACTTTTCACGCATTCACTATCGTTATATATATTTCTGTCTATAATATTGTTTTAGACGTATGTCTGCAGAGCAAAAAATTTGTTGGGAGCATCATCAAAATAGCACTGAGACTGACAATGAGGCTAAAAAAATATATATTTAGGTAATTTTCGTATATAGGCGGCTCATGTTGGACAAATTCACAGCGCAAAACATTGATTAATTTTTATAAAAAGCATTGATATCAAACCCAGTCGAACCTCAAAAGTTCTGGTCTACGAAAGTTTAGTTTGTTAGTAAACATTATATCTCTTACAATTTTGGGACGAACACAGTTTTAGGTCACAAACCACTTATTTTGTAGTTAATTACATACCTTATTCCATATTTAATAGCAAAAAATTGAATTGCAATGAATTAAATCAAATTATTTGTAAATTTTAGCAAGTGGTCAAAATTGGCGGGAGAGCGGTTAGCGTCAGCTGTTGAAGCTTTACAGCTGTGCGAATATTGAGTGGAAAGCGAAATGAAAGGTTTTTTGGAATATTGGATATATTAGTTTTCGATTACAAAACATTTTTGGCGCCAATAAATAAGTTAAAACTTGAATTAATCGCTGCTAAATCAGTCATTTCTTCTACAGTGCACTGCGGACGACAGTAGTGGCGATTCGGAGTTTTATGCCGTTTTCCGACCGAGATCCATCCACCATCCGTTGAACGGATTGTCCATAAGGTTTTGCCGTTCCGAAAATTCCCAGTTAGTTCCCCATCCAAATTTGACTGACTTTTTTATGCGATAGATAGGCGATGTTTTTTCGGTGCAACTCTGAGTTTTTCTTCTTCACATAACACAATAACGACTGGTAATTTTAAATGCTGTTTATAATTAATTAATCACTGCTCCATCCGTCTGGCAGCATTAAGAGTTGCTCCACTCTGTTACTCAAAACATGGAGCAGAGCACCTTGAAGAACGAGAGTATGTCCCCAGACTTATGTATATGTGTGGCTTGCAATTACTAACAAAATTTATTTATTCCAAAGTAACAGTTGTTTTTTTTTGTTTACTAAAATTTATTTGCTGATTTAAAGTTCATAGCTGCACTTAGATCTAAACTAATGCTTTTAAGAATCGCAAAGAGTCAGTAGTAGAAATAGTATGGTATAGTCTATTATAGTAACTTCACAGAACTTTACAAGGTTTATGTATATCATAGTTAGATCTACAATGATTTAAAGTAAAAGGAATAAAGTTCCTGGTAATTATATTAGGCACAGAGAAGTTTAGCCGACCCAGTAACTCGGGACTCTCCACATGAATAAGTTTATGAATAAAAGTAGTGCCAAGCTTCGTTCTACGGTTTAATAAGGATGGTAGCTTAATTAGAAGAAGTGTTCTAGAGTAGGTTGGTAAAATAAGGCTTGTATTCCGGCTAAGGCCCCGTAGAGCAAATAATAAAAAGTTCTTTTGCACAGACTCTATCCGGTCTATATGTAAACCATACTGTAAACCATATAGTGGGTTCACCCTAAAAAATGTAATTTCTATACACTTAGCGCTATTTAAATCCAAATGATTTTCACAACACCATGTTTGAAAAGCATTTAGGTCCGATTGTAAGTCAGAATTGCTGAAAATTTCCTTATATTGCATGCATAACTTAACGTCATCTGGGTACATGCGGACACGCGATTTTGTCAAGACTAGAGGGAGATCGTTTATAAATAAAGTAAAAAGAAGTGGGACAAGGTGGCTTCCTTGTGGGACGCCTAAAGTAAATCGGATCAAATTAGAGAACGAGTATTTAAAGAGGATCAAATTAGAGATAGAGTATTTAAAGAGGACTCGTTGAGTCCTACCACAAAGATAACTTAAGATCCATGTTAGATGATCACATGGAAAACCTAATAAGTCTAGCTTAAATACAAGTCTAGCTTATCAAAGACGTTAGCTCCAAAAGGTTTGTCGTCGTAGATCTTCGCCTTATAAATCGATGTTGACATGGATATATAATTGATCTACAAAGATATTGAACTTAACTGTATATTACAGGTGCAAGCCAGGATGAGGTGAACATTTTATGCGGAATGTGGTTCTGTGTGAATAGTCTTTACGAAAAATTATACTCAACGTTTCACAACTCTAAGATATCGATAGTAGTTTTTTTTTTATTATGTTCCCTATCTAGTGCTGATAGCCGGCAATGTAATTTTGATTAAATTTTGGTGCGCTAAATAAACAATAGCTGTAGTTCTACCTGAACATTTTATTTGCATTAGAGAAATTATCCGGAGAGTCATTCCCTAATGCTTAATACCTGTTTCCTTGCCTTCGCATATGTATACCAAAGCTTGTCGGGATACTGCTGGAATGTGTACCTGGCCAAATAAGTTTTCTAGTGTACACACGTAAATTTTGATCAAATTTTATTCGAGTGCTATTACAGTATTTCTTGTAGACGAATAAAATCTATTCTGTAATAAATCGATAGTCTATTAAACTGGTTGTATGGGAAATAACAGCCAAAATGTAATATTCCATTTAAAGATAGGCGCAAATCTAACTATTTATATGCCTGTGGTCACACAGTGTATTGTGTTGTTGGTCTCAGAGAGGGGCGGGAGCATAAAAGAAGTTACAAGGGGTGAGTGACACAAAAGTTGTAAGTTAGGGGTTGGTTATGAGCGCGGTATTCGGTGTGTTCTGTGGCATCGCGGGTAACAAGATTGAGTGAGAGAGGAAATACTTTAATTTTGCTTATAAAAAACTATTTTCGTTGAAAAGTTTTTTAAATGTAAGTAAGTTTACCAGAACCGTGAAAATCTTCCAAGTGTACGCATTTATGTATTATGAATAGGCATACCCATTACACCCATGTGTGGCTATCACTCCCATAAACATGCGTATGTATACCAAATGCACTTTCGGTCTTTTTTATATATTGCAGAGAATCTTCTAAGGGAATGAACTACAAATATTTTATAAACTGACATGGTGATTTAAATAATGTGGCCAAACAAGGAAATTATATAGTTAAAAGTTAAACAGCATATTGACATGTCTGCAGCACACATAAACACGGAATTTAGTGGGTTCAATAGAGTGAGTTCAAATTCTACATCCAGTTCCATCTCATCATTTAATTTCTTATCGGCTTCCGTGTCATCGAGCTCCTCCTCATTGGGCGAAAGTATTATTACCCCGGGCGAAAGTATTGCACCGCGCGAAAGTGTCAGCAGCTGTTCATTGACCACCAAATTTGTTCCCCTTAAAAAAAAGGACAAGAGTGCTATTGAAATGTCAGCACAAGTGACACCAAAAATCTTGACCAATATTAATCCGAAGGAGTCAATTCACAAGTCGAACACCGTACATCAACTCGAAATGATTGAACAACCAAAAGTGAATGCGGCGTCTTTACCTCTATCCGACGATCCGCGAACATTGCAACTGGCGTTGGAACTATCTTTGGTCGGATTTAATGACAATCAAACTTGTTATGCGCAACCTGCTCAAGCCCCACCATTATCTTTAATCGCACAAAGTCACTTCGAGATAGGCGCTATTAACGGAGTGCCCGCGTTCTCCAAAACAGATAACACCCTGCCACCTCCATCGGCATCGAGTTGCCTTTTATTACCCGTTGCCGGGACCGTCAGCTTAGAAGATCGATCAAAAAAGTCGCAAAACATGACCGAATGTGTTCCAGTCCCCAGTTCAGAACATGTTGCCGAAATAGTCGGTAGACAGGGTAAGTATAATCGATAACAAGCGGGATCCAGAAATGCATTATACTTGGCACGTTCTTTGAGAATTGAGTTTAGTTTTTAACTTAGTCTATATCATAAAGCTACCATTGGAACATTCGGGAAAAAGGGAAATAAAATTATAACTTCGTTGTTTCCAACATATATCCTTTTATTCAGAGATATATTTTTTTATTTAGAGATTTTATAAAAATCGGACGACTGTATCATACAGATGCCATTGGTAAAAAAAGGGAGTTATAATTTCGTTATATATATGTTTGCTTCCTTTCTTGTTTTTTTAAGGACTACTATTTTTCTAAAAAGTTTTCGTAAAAACGGACAGATGGACTTGGATAGATCGACTCGGCTGGTGATGCTGATCAAGAATATACATGCTTTATAGTATAGTATAAATATGGTATAAAATATGCTTACGATGACAACGCTAAAATTAGGACACCAATTAAGAGCTGCAGAATTTGCTTAGATTTTAGGGAAATTAATTATACAATTTTAAAAATACATTTTTCATTTAATAAAATCAAAGGACTTATAATAAGTTGACATTTAAGCAATCAAAAAATGTTTTATAAATTCGACAAAAAGAGATGTGTACGTATTAAGGAACTGCCACAAGATTTTAACTTAATGCAGCGGTTTGGAGTCGACTTATATTTTAAAAAATGGGTCAAATAAAATACACTTTTTTTATTTTTGGAATTGGATTATTTTTATTTGTAATTTTTTAATAAGTTGTGCTCTAGGCTCAAATTTTAAAAGCAAGTTTGGGGAACGGCTTGCAGGTTGTGAATCTCATAGCCGCAAATAATAATAATAAAACAATTATTATGAGAAGAAATGTATTAATTTTATATACTTGTTTCCGCTCTTAGGTTGCAAGATCAAAGCTTTGAGAGCCAAAACCAACACTTATATTAAAACACCAGTTCGAGGAGAGGAACCGGTATTCGTAGTGACTGGTCGAAAGGAAGATGTAAACAAGGCCAAACGGGAAATACTGTCCGCTGCTGACCACTTTAGCTTAATACGTGCATCACGCAAGCCAATAGGCGACGGTCAGAGTAGCGGCATAGTAGGAATTGCAAGTTGTTCTGGAGGTGGTGCAGTTCCCCGCATGCAGTCCGGTCCTCCATGTATGCCTGGACAGGTAACCATACAGGTACGTGTACCCTATCGGGTAGTTGGACTTGTTGTTGGGCCCAAAGGTGCTACGATTAAACACATTCAACAAGAAACTCAAACCTACATTGTGACACCTTCGCGCGAAAAGGAACCAATTTTTGAAGTTTCTGGCTTGCCCGAAAACGTAGATACTGCACGAAAGCAGATAGAAGCTCACATTGCCCTTCGAACTGGGGCTGGATCTGGAAATGGTGACGCCAATACTATGCAAGGTAGTGAATCGGTTGAGACGAATGAGTTCGCGCCCCTCCCTACAATAAATTCATTAACCCAAATACTAAATGATGATTTAAACTCAGAAATTTTGTCGTCTATATACAAAAATGGAATTCCATCTGCACAAGATTATGCAAATAATTCAATAAAGATAGCTGGAAATGGTAGCAATCCAGTAAAGCCCATGCAAGGGCATCATACTGGCAACTATTTTCCAAAAACCGAATTCTCTGACATGGAAATGGTAGGAACTTTAACACCAACAGGAATATCCGATAAACACCTTCCCGGAAATGAAGTTTCCATGCCCTTGGCAAAAGCTAATGTTGTATTTCGTAATACATCTAGTAAAGCATTAACCTTCTGTCCTCCCACATCAACATCCGCATCGATTCATTCCAACTCTAATGCAAATATTTTAACAAGATCTTGTTCATCTGCTTCCTCAACAACTTCAACAAAAAGTACCAGTAATAGCGCCAACACACCTCCAGAAATATTGAATATATGGAAAAATATAAGTGATTCAATTGACGTGGATGAGGGTATTGGGGATTCGCCTAGTATTTGGAATCAACCTGCAAATATTATACCCACTGCTCACTGCTCCCCCACAATCTCAATTAGTCCCACGGACTCGGTCTTAGGCCTGGGCGAACATTCTACAAATCAAAAAAATCTGCACCACACAAAAGAACCGACTATATGTAACAACCAGCAAAAACCACAAGCCATTCAATTGCAATCCAACCCGGACAAATATTTGATTCATCGCGAATGTTTTGTTTGTAATGAAAATAATGTTACCACAGCTTTGGTCCCATGTGGTCATAATATGTTTTGCATGGAGTGCGCAAATCAAATATGCATTTCTATGGAAGCAGTTTGCCCGGTTTGCCATTCTATTGTTTACCATGCAATGCGCATTTTAGGATAATTCTAATTTTATTACTTTTGTAAGTCATTGATTATGTTTAACAAATTTTAATTCGTTGGTTTTGTAGTTTGTTAATATTTTTTGTTTGTCGCTTTCGTGAAGTGCTTTAAAATGTAGCTATATTTTAGTTTCTTCAAAATGGTTTGACCTGAAATATTTTTATTTTACACTGGTTTTTTACGGTGCAGCGGCTGCATGTGCAGCATTCTAGCCATTTGGTCTTCGAGTCTGTAAGTCTTAACCGCTGCATCGTTTAAAATTAAATCAGCTTTATATTTATATTATAGCTCAAACAAAAATTTGATTAAATTAGGAAACTAATTGTGTACTAAGATTTGTTAAGTTAAAAATCGTTTTGACTCTATTTGAGGTATTGACTTCTTGATATTATGAACGTTTATTTTTGCTACTTCTACAGTTAAACTTAAAAATTTTTGGTTTAATTTGTGTTGAAAAATATACCTAATTATAGTTAATTTCTTCTGCCGCCGGCATTTAAAAATTGGTCGGTCGACTAGTAGAAGAGATTTAATTTTGATATAATTTTTAACAATGGGGTTGACAAAAAGTATTTCTAGTCAAAACATAAAAATTCAGCTTATGACACCCAATAGTTGTGCGTGAGGACAAGAACAAATGTAATGGTATTTGTTTTAACAACAAAATATTATGTTTGGGCTGCGGTCAAGGATTGCTAAACTAAGTTTTATCGAGTTTTCAATTGATATACATGACAGCATCTTTAAAATGATAACTTACTCGAAAAAGCATTTTACCAAAAAAAAGGTGATGAAAGTTTCAACAGTGTTTCTTATGTTAAATGTGTCAATTAAAATGCGCATATATTCTTCTCTGCTCCAGTTAAAAAGCACATCAAACACGTTCCTATAAAAAACCCATGTGACATATTATTTCCTAGCAGAGAGTATTTTAATTTTGGTATAACGCAGTGTAGAAGACAATTCCGTCAGTTTGTATGCTTAATACCGTTTGCGGGCTCATTTTAAAAGTCTTTAAAATATCGTTTTTTTTTGTCTACACTGATAATGTTAAAAACCTTTGCTGATCAGACAGTACCCTATTGATTCCCTAGGAACGATATATTTTATTAATTTGTTTGTTTTTCGAACAAGTTATATTGTATAATGCTGTAGGAGAGGTAGCACACACCTACTTTTTTCAGAAAAGGGCTTTCTTGGCCGTAATTTTGGATTGCTTATTATTTTAAATGGGTTTCAATAAAAAGGTACTTAAAATGCAAATGGAAGAATGGAATGTCTTTTGTTTGTGCTTTTAGATTTCTTAAAAAATTTGTACAACTTTCTTATAGCTAAAGGACATAAAGGATGCATAGCTTTGCATAGAGTTTATAATCTTTTAGCATAATTATAAAAAAAATGCATATAGAAAATGTTCAAAATGTTGTCCCCAAAGGAACCTACAGATAGATTTCATTTTTTTTTTATTTGACAAGGTTATTTTGTTAAAAAGGCTATCTTTATGGAACTTTTATTAGGAGCAGTTCAGTTAAACCACTTTAGGCCTGCATCCTGAGTTTTTCCCAAATCAGATGACTATGTCCTAAGTCTGCCATACTGACCGTACAGTTCTACATATTTAGCTTGCTATTTCTTTCGTTCTTGTATTTTTTAAAACTCAAATTAAATTTCATCAGTTATATTTATTTTGTAATAGTAATGACGTCCTAAAAGTCTTGAAACAATTTGCTAAAAATTGGAATCCACAATCAATAACTCAAAAGTCATAAAAAGTAAAAAGTCTTAAAATTTGTGTACCCTTGTAAAGGGAATTAAAATTTTGCTAAGAAATCTCAAGAGTTTTTAGTTTCGTAAATTTTGTTCGGTCTTGTCGGTTGAAATTCCACTAAGCAACAACCTGCTAAAAAATAAAGTTATGCTGGTTGTTTTATGTATAATTTTGCAAAAGAGTTTAATATATATCCTTATCTAAAACTATACGATTTTATCGACACTTGGTTTGCCTTTTTTTTTTGTTTACAAACAAAGGCCTTAAACGGTTACTCGACAAAATAATGACGGCAGAGTTCAAACACTTAATTCAATTCAAACAGCTACATTTTTCGACTATTTTACAAATTTACTGTTATTATTTAGAAGTGAAGGAAAGAAAATGTAATTACCGTATTCTTTATATTCGTATTTGGTTTGATATTTGTAAAGAAAATTGTACATCAGATATGAATAAAGCTACAGAAAACAGTTTGGTTTTATGTTTTCATATATCTTTAATTTAAAACTAAAACGTATTTTTTTGCTGATTGTAGGTTAAAATGTTTCTCATTAGTTAAGGCACAGAAAAAAATTATGCTTTAGATTTTCATATATCTAAAATTTAAAAAAGTAGTTTTTGTCCATTACCCATTTAATGAATATTTTTAAATCTCATTTTTGAAATTTAAAAGTACTATTCTTATTTCTTTTTAATTGAAGTCTTTGATTTTTTTTTCGTTTATTTTTTTTCGAAATTATACCGATATTCAAAACATAGATTCACAAACTATAGATCGAATAATGCTGCGCATATTCGCTAACCCTTTTTAAAAAAAAATTTCAGATTTTGTAGACCACAAAACAAAAAGAACCTAAAATTCAATGTTTATTAATTATTATTTGTTTTTTAACCCACTACTCATAGAGTTAGAGGATATATTGTATTCTTTGAAAAGTACGTAACAGAAAGAAGGAAGCGTTTCAGACCCCATTAAGTATACATTAATAAACGAGTCGGTCTGACCATACCCATCTGTCTGTCCGTATATAAACTTCGGCACCACTCTTTTAAAATCTCCGGACAAGAGAAGCGAGATTTGTAACCAGTTTAAGGTCGATTTCATGTCACCTCCAATTTGAATTCAGTTCTTTGTGGCAGATTTACCAGTTTTTCAAAAAGTTATTCCGAATGAATGGCAATAACAATTTTGTAAATTTTAAAAATAATACTAAAATTATAAAATAAATAAAATTAAAAATTCAATATGCAAGTCATATATTTCGATAATTAATAAATGTAGCCAACCAAAACTTTTATTAACTTTGTGATTCAGTTACCTATAAATTGCAAAAAAAAATTTACAACATTTTGTAAATATATCAACAAATTAAATTAAAACAGTTTTTTTTAGAGTTTTCAAGAAAATTTTTTCATTGACCCTTTTTTTAGTTTAAGCTGCTGCCAATGGCTTATAGCAGTTAACCTTTTGGTCTTGAACTTTAGTCACTTGCTTTTAAAATAAAAGAATCATCATATAAAATAATCATTACGCAATCTTTTTTTTAAGTTAATAATTCAGACTTTAGTTAATCAAATTTAACTCTTGCTTTGATTGTTCATAATAATCTAGAAAAATTTTCAAAGACACATTTTTTATTTAGATCCCTAGGGAAAATTAGCAAACGAAATTTCTCATTTAATAAATAATAACAATCGTAATTCAAAATATATTGGATCTTATAAGTAAATGTTATAACACTTATTCTCTAAAAAATAAAAATTGACTGATAAAATAGCATTAATATTAAGATCGGCACGAAACATATATTATATCAATAAAGGCAGATAAAAATAGTTATATTTATTAAAAAATACGATGTATGACCCACATGTGACAACTACCTTAATAAAGCTTACGATTAATGTGAATAAAAAGACTTATACATTTATAGTCAATCATATTTAATATTTATAATACAATGTAAATGCGCAGAATGTTAGAAAACCGAAAATATTGTAGTTCTGTTCAAAATTGAATGTTTTATAATACCAATTATTTTACATCTGTGTTTGTAATATGTCCCAAGAGTATATTAATCAATCTAGTCCGATTAATTGTAATAGAGGCTTATATATTTTTAAATGTATATAATTTTAAACTAAAATCTGTAAGGTCAAAAATTCAAACGAGTGAGACTAAATAAAGGTTATTATTGCGCAAAATAAACATTTTACATTACATAAACTATTACTAGAGCAATTTAATTTCATACAAGAATTATAAAAAAATGAGCATTTATATATATACTATAATAATATATGTATATGTATATTATATATATAATAATGTATATTATATATATAATAATGTATATTATATATATAATAATATACATAACTAAGCCCTAACAAATATTCTTTGTAAGGTAGCATTAATATTTCAAGGAATTCAATGCGTTCTCATATGTACGAAGAATCAGTATTTCAAAATAAAAAATATCTAAGATATATTAATGAGTAATAATAGATTACCAGTTTGTTTAAACAAAATATAAAAAAAGATCTAGGGTGCTTGGTTAGACTTATAATAAACTGGAAACGTAAATGGTTGATGATAGAGCAAATTCTTAAATAATATTTTCAGCAGATAACCAATTACCGTTGTGGAAACAAAATAATGATTGCAATGTACTTAAATTCCAATGATAAATTATGAGTACAGTGGTTGTAAAGGCTAAGAAAATGTGAACGTGTAAATCAGCCCAACAGCAATTTCAATTTATAATAAACATTTTACAAAGCTTAATGACCTGAAAAGGAAATAAGAAATATTTTGAATTTATTATTTGATTCTTAATGTTATTAATTTATTTATAGCTAAAGCTAAAGTTCCAATTATAGATTTTATTCCATTTCCAGAGAAAATAAAATAGAAGAAATCTCACAACAAATTTTGACAGAAATAGAAAAATGATTGTTCCTATGTTGTGTTTAAACACCATAAAAAAGTTTAAACAAATATTACATTTTCTATTTAGTTCTTTACGAAACACACGTACATTTCTTGTAGGCTCAAGAACATTTTGATTGTATCTTCAATAAGAATTATTTCTAAGAAATAATTTACATACATATGTACATACGTACATACATACAGAACGGGAGAAATTATTTTTTTACAAAGTTTGTAATGTTTTACATTTAACTTATTATTATTGGCCGCTAATGTATTTACAACGAATATTTTACAAATGCGATTGAGAAAAAAAAAACAATAAATGCAGAACAGAAATATAAGAAAACGGTGAATAAGTAAATGAATGTATATGTCTATATAAATATATTTATTTATATAATTTAATAAAAATACAAAAACATATAGTTTTAAAGTAAGCTCCCCAATACCATAAATAATATTAACAATAGTAAAATATCCGTATTGTGTTCGACAGAAAATATAATATCTTAAAAGTACATTTCATATATCGACTTTAATCGGCATACTCTTTTTACTGATTAGTACTCACATTTAAAAGCCGACTTGAAAGCCGAGGCCCTTAAATTTATATAAGAAATATTTATGCAAATATAATTATATACATACAGTAATGTATCACTAAATGGTTATATAATAAATTTTTCGCAGATAAATAGGTGCATTTTCTTATAAGTGTTTAGTATATTTTTTTAAAAGAAATTTTCATCGTCGTAAATCTGTAACCGGTTTTTTGTGGTTCGATACAGTTTTTAAGATTCAACTGGTTTTCGAATGAGTGTCTTAGGTCATTTTTGGGAATGTCCTTCAGAATGCTGGTTAGCAGCAATTGATTGCGATTTATGCCAATATGGCACGGGGCCAGATCACAATCACAATGAAAAACTTGTAGTTTTGACAACCCCAGCTTTCAATCTCGCTTGCAAGGTAAGTACTATCACCGGATCTGCTCACCTTTAATGGCAATGTTATGGTCAATGCTATAAAGATGACAGCTGTGCAGTGTTCGGTTTTTCGTACGAAACAAAAAAATTGCTTGAGTTCGGAAGTGCGTAATAACCTTACCACTTCCACTATTTGGAAACGGAGTAATCATCAACATCTTTTTACACTTATTGAAGAAAGTATTTTGCGAGTTCAAATGTTTCGATCATGCAACAGAGTTAATATCCGAAATCAGAATCGGGAAATCACATCCAAAGCTTCTAATTGCCACTAACATCTGGGATTTGGCAGTACCCCAAAAATTCGTGGAGGTTGACGCATTTTAGAAACAAGTAATACGAAGCATGTGTATCGCTTCATAATTTAAACTGACTGTAGAGCGAAGTAGACACAGGTTTTAATAAAAGCTTCAACGTAGATCCATTGATAGCGCGGAAGCTCCACTCTCCTCTCTACTTGCATAGAAAAAAGAGTATACCGCCGAGCTTTATACTGACATTGCTGACACCGTTGACATGTTTTATATTTTAACATTCACGTAGGTGACCGGCTCCAATTTCTATGCGCGCATTTTCGGAAAGTAAAGTTACTCCTATATTGCTCACCATTTATGAAGCTAAATCTGTACCCCAGCAATTTAATACTTTTGGGATCCCCAATACGACAGTCAATATATAAATAAGAGATGTTTTGAGTGATGATACGGCAACAATAGAACGAGAATCTTTATAGATAAACTTATGGCGCCCTTGACACAATGAAAATAAGCAGTTTTTAAAGCTGAATAAAAATTTCAATTATTCGTTCTGCATATGTTTTTCAAATGGCTTTTGTAGCAGCTCTGAAAGGCCTCTATTTTGATACCATAATAGTAAAATTTGGTACCCATAGAGAAAAGCTTTACACAGCGAAGTATCTCAAAAATTCCACTTGAGCTCATGCTTAATGTGCCTTAAGAACTTTAGGGTGGCAAAACAAAACCTTAAAAATATATATTCTGAAGAGATTACCATCCAGTATTTTTTTAGGATACCGCGTGTGGAAAGGGCTGAATGTCAGTACAAATATTTAATTATTTTACACCATACAAATAATTTCTTGAAGACAATGACCAACTGGCAATTGTTCTGGAGATCCAAGTTATTGTACGATTTTTCTGCGACAATACGGCCTCTTAGCCATGCGCGGAAGCGCCCGTTGATACATCAAATGATTTATTAAAACTAAGTCTACTAAGACTCCAATTGTTTATGAGATAACTCAATTTTTATTTTTCTAGATTGGTTCGCTCTTAAACGTTAGTTTTAAGGCCGTTAGTGGTCTTGCGATTGTGGCTGTAAGGCTTAAGCTGCTTAAATGCCTTCGATAGTAGGTAGCCCTGCACAGGACATGATAAATCCCAGCTATTATACACTCTTTTCGAAGAACTTGAAGTTTTCCTGAGATACCCTGTTGCCGGCTGTCACAGCATGTTTTTGATAATTGTTTCCTTAGGACTTCGTTGCTGGGTGCACTTTGAGTCCAAATGGTAATCTGCAAAACTCATATGTTCCGTTGTTAACCGAGAAGGTCCCTATCTAATTTTGCAAACTCGATTAAAATGTCCACAAAAAGTATCAGCGCAACTAGCAAATCACTTAGTTGTAGTTGAAAAATGGCTGGCCGACTGACGAATAAAGGTCAATGAGCAAAAGTGTAAGCACGTTACATTTACATTAAACAGACGAGAGGGAGGGCAAGCTTACATTAAACAATACTGTGCTGCCTCAAGCCAACGAAGAAGCGTACACCTTGACAGACGACTCACTTTTAACACATTTAAGACCAGAGAACATATCTAAAGCTGAAGGCTGGTAGCCTGCATTGGCTTATAAACTCCCGTTCTCCTCTTAGTCCGGACTAAAAATACTGTTCTTGAACTCAGTCCTAAAACCAATCTGGAGATATGGCTCTCAGTTGTGGGGCAGCTCCAGTAACAGCAGCTTAGAAATTATGCAGAGAGCTCAGTCGAAGATCCTCAGAACCAACACCGGGGCACTGTGGTACGTTCGGAACGATAACATTCAGAGAGATCTGAATATTCTCCCCGTCAGAGATGAAATAGCGCAAACCAAAGATACTACAATAAACTGTCAACACACCCAAGCCACCTCGCAAGTTCCTAACCAGATTGAGCAGCCGCTCTCGTCTTCGTCGTAATGGCCTTCCCATCCAGCAATAAATATTAGGAACGTGTAAATTAAGTTCAGATAAACTGAAATAATAATATACTATTTCTTAAGATTTGAATACTTTTAGTTATTCACGTCAAGAGAAGATTAAAAAATTAAATCAAAGTTATAAAAAAAAAAAAATACCATACACAGATTTTTCTTTGAGCCTTAGGAGAAGATTTTGCGCGATCATAAGCTTCTGTAGCGTTTGCTGTATTGCTATCATGGTGTTCGTTATAGCTACCAGCATTTGTACACACTATATTTAGTACACTTGCAATGACCATCTTTTTCAGAGGACTATGCTTAGTCCTAACCGAAACAATATAATATTATTCCATTCAAACACATCCCATCCCTATGCTGCACAGAATTTTAAGATATGCCAGCTGTTTATTTAAAAAAATATTTTGTTAGCATTTTAACTAACACATTATAGTCAAAGTTTAAAATGTTTCATATTTTTATAACCTTGCAAAAGGGTATTATAATTTTGGTCAAAAGTGTGCAACGCAGTGAAGGAGACATCTCCGACCCTATAAAGTATATACACTCACTCGCATATCTCTGCGTACACCCCCAAAAATGTCAAAATCAAACTTTGAACATTAATTGTTCGGCCATTTATGCATGTATTTTATTCATTATTTTTTTAAACAAAACTATAGTTTATTGTCTTCATTGACGTAGAAATATTATAAATATTCAACAGGGGGTTATATTTTATTTTTATACCCGTTACTCGTAGAGTAAAAGGGTATATTGTATTCGTGCAAAAGTATGTAACAGCTAGAAGGAAGCGTTTCCGACCCTATAAAGTATATATATTCTTGTTCAGGATCACTAGCCGAGTCGATCTAGCCATGTCCGTCTGTCCGTCTGTCTGTCCGTCTGTCCGTCTGTCTGTCCGTATGAACGCTGAGATCTCGGAAACTATAAAAGCTAGAAGATTGGCATTTTGCATGCAGATTCTAGGAGTTCCTACGCAGCGCAAGTTTATTTCAAAAAGGTGCCACGCCCCCTTTAACGCCCACAATCGCTTATATACGATTTTAAAAATTTAAATATTTCGGAAAAGTAAAAATGCAGTTTTATTGTGTTTATCAATACCTATCGATTTTTCAAATCGGACCATTCGTTAAAAAGTTATGCGTGATCAAAGTTCTTATCTCCATCTCCCTCGCACTCCCTTTACCTGAGTAACGGGTATCTGATAGTCGGGGCACCCGACTATAGCGTTCTCTCTTGTTAATTTTAGACTTAACACTACGAAAAAGTGTACGCGCAAAAGTCTGCTTACAGCAGTTTTCAACTTCGAGGAATGCAGGATTGTGCGATTACCGTTAATTTTGTTGTCGCCGATCTACTTTAGAATGTCTAAACATAGACATTACGCAGTTAAAATGAAACTTTTTCATTATAATAACGAGCATATTGCAACATGGAACAAAAAGGCAAGAACATTTCTGTTGAGGAGCGGAAAATTATATTAAAAGGTTTTTTGGATGGAAAATCTTATAGAGAAATTGGTGCTCTCATATCGGAAGTCAATAGACAAAAGCGCCTAACCTTTACTAATGAGTATATTTCCAAGCACCAAGACTTCTGGAATTAGGTTATATTTTCCGACGAAAGTAAATTCTGCATATTTGGAATCAAGGGAAAGGTTTTGGTATGGAGGAAGAGCGGAGAAGCCTTAAATTAAGAAAATTTGGTTGGCACAGTAAAGCAAGGAGGAAGCGGAATAATGGTGTGGCGGTGTATGGCAGCAAGTGGCGTTGGAAAATTGGTATTTATCGAGTTAACAATGGATCAGAAAATCTATATTGACAAATTAAAAAATTATTTAAGAGAAAGTGCTGAAAAATTAGGACTCAAAAGTGAATATTGGTTCCAACAAGACAACGACCCGAAGCACACGGCACAGAATACCAAGCTTTCGCTGCTGTATAACGTCAAAAATTAGGTACGAACACCTCCCCAGAGTCCTGATCTAAACCCAATTGAGCATGTGATGATCAAGAATGTGATTCTCGAGGAGTAGGGGAAAATTACTGCAGATGAGACAAAAAAAAAGTGGATTCCATGCCGAGACGCCTTACGGAAGTTTTGCAGAGAAAAGTATACCCTACCAGTTACTAAAAATAATATTATTTGTGTTTTAAATAGGTGTACGCAGACTTTTGCGGGTACATTTTTTGGTAGTGTTAAGTTTAAAATTAAAAATAAAATATAAGACACTGTTGAATAATTTAAAAAAAAATACGTCAATGAAGACAATAAATTATAATTATGTTTAAAAAAGAATGGGTTGAATATATGCATAAATGGCCGAACAGCTAGGGCTTAAAGTTAGATTTTGAAATTTTTTTGGGGTGTACGCAGAGATATGCGAGTGAGTGTATATTCTTGATCAGGATCGCGTCCTGAGTTGATATATGCATGTCCGTCTGTCTGTCCGCCTGTCCGTCTGTCTGTTTCTACTCGCGTAGAGTCTCAGTTTTAAAGATATCGAATTGAAACTTTGCACACACCCTTCGTTCCTTTGCACGCAGTATATAGGTCGGAACGGCCGGGATCAGCTGACTATATCCTATAGCCGCCATATAACTAATTAATCGGAAATGCCACAACTTTGGTGTTTGTAAAGTTAGGAAGTTGGGATTTTTATGGGTTTTATTTTTGGCCAATCAATCCGACCTAACAAGTTTCATAAGGAACGGCCGACTATATCCTATAGCTGCCATATAACTGAACGATTGGAAATGCCATAACTTTAGTGTTTTTAATGCCAGGAAGTAGGGATTTTTTATGAGTATTAAGAATGCATCATATGAATAATTTTTGGCGAATAAAATTTACAGAATATTCTGCAAGGGTATATCAATTTCGGCTCCGCCCAAAGTTAGCTTTCCTTTCTTGTTTTTGACCTACAAGCGTCTTCCCACAGAGATCCATCCACAATGCGCTGAACAGATGGTTCATAAGGTTTGGCCGTTCCAAAAATGTCCCAGTTAGTTTTTTTTTCGCTTGGAGTCCCATGGCCCACTTTCCTGCTAAACCGACCGAGGGGCGCAGCCGTGTGTCGTACGGCAAGAGGAGGATAGAGGCGAGATAAGAAAATATAGGACAAAGTCCGGGGAAAAAGTAATAGTAAGATCAATTGTGTGTAAATAAAGCTAGTATTAATCGTTTTAGGAGCGGCAGTGAGTCAAGATTTGAGATTATAGGAAAAAGTCTATTATAGTCAGAACATAATACTCTGAAAGGCTCATGCAAGGCATAGTTCTACAATGATTTAATATTAGTGGATTAGTTCCCCATCTAAAGTTGACGGACTCGTTTTTGCGATAGTTAGGTTATCTTTTTTCGCTGCAACTCTGAGTTCTTCTTCTTGACAGTGAAAACGTAAGTTTAAGTTGAAGGCGCCAAATCAATAAATGCAGTTTATATATGCAATAATTAATTGATTTCAATTTACAGTCGATAATACAATACATGAAGGTGGCCCTGTCAATAATGGAAGCTGGGTGTAATGTGTGTGTAAGTACAAGTAACAACAATAATATAAAAAAACTTTTTTGCAGGAAAGGGCCCTTAAAGGATATTCTCAAGTGCTTTAACAAGACGATTCTGCCAGAGTACAAATACTAATAATTATAATTGCACTAAGTTCTCGCATGCGTTTCTTTGAAGATTACATTTAAAAAGATTAATTTTTAAAATTTTTTAGACCGGCAACGCAATTCAATTTTCTATTAATTATCCAAACTGTTAGACGACCGTAGCACAAACAGTTCTGAAGAACTCTGAAAAATTGGAAAGATAAAAGGTTTTTTGCTTGCAAACTTGATTTTCGATCTGAGTACTAGGCTTAAAGCCAAGTACTGAGTTGTGCACATCAAAAAGGCCTTTTTGGGGTTTCCTGTGTATTGTTTGATCCGAAAAGCATTTTTCTTTGACAACACAATTTAAAAGATAACATTTTGTATTCTTTTTGCTGGGGCCTGGTAAACGTTTGCTTAGAGTTTATTCTGGAGGATGGCAACGCGATGTAATTTTCTGGTCTTTATTTTGTCTATCTGAGTACCAGGGTAGAAGAGTGTCAGCCAGCTATTTGCCTCTCGCTCATTCACTTAGCTGACGAACGGATCTAATAGGCCTAACTTAAAAAACTTTAGAAGCTACTCTTAATACGGTACAAATTATATAAAATAATAGCATTTTTCTTTCTTTACATCACATCATACTCGCTTTCTGAAACAGCTCAATAATTTCCCCTATGTGCATTTATTTACATAAAATTATTTATTAGTTCTATTATTCAAACACAACTTTTGAGTTGTCTTTTTTTTGTCCTCTAGGAACAACTGCAACCCTCGACAGACATATTTGGTATAACACTTAACACCAGATTATGGTTGTCGTCAAAATATAACAAACTTAAGGAACTCATTTTTGTAGGCGAGCAACACGGTGTGGCCGACGTAGTTAAGGCTGCTAAATGTGTGTGGGGATATTGCTCTAGGTACCCAACTTTGCAATCTCCACTGCAGAAGTATGCATCAAATGACGTTGGTGCTACGACAAAATGCCATCCAAAGCTGGTAAAGTTAACTTTGAGTGGATATCGACAACATCGCATGTCATGATCATTCTCCGTGCAGTCCATATATACGCTGCGCTTTCTTCGATGCTTTTTTTGTGATCCAATTTCTATGTGAACTGTCTGAAATAAATGGTAATTGGCAATAGTTTAATATATTTGGATCAATTTGGATAAAACAAAACAGTAAAAACTTAAAAATCGAAATAACCATTTAAATACATTTTTTTTACCCTTGCAGGAGAAATTTCCGACCTTATAAAGTATATATATTCTCGATCAGCATCATCAGGAGAATCGATCTAGCCATGTTCGTCAATCCGTCTGTCCGTCCGTTTCAACGCAAACTAGTCCCTCAGTTTTAAAGCTATCGGATCGGGCGACTATATCATAAAGCTCCCATAGGAACAACCGGAAAGAAGAATTCAAAAAAATGTAACGTTTTGGTTTTCAAATATTTTTTTTTGTTCTTTGGGATTTGGAATATTTAAATATTTTGGAATTACGGTTTTAATTAAATTAAAATCGGACAACAATATCATATAGCTGCCATAAAAAGGATGACAAAATGCAGCGCAAAGTTGACATAGCTTTATTGTTTTTAGCTTAGAAATCGAAATGTAGTAGATTTGTAACAACTGCAAGGGTATATAAACTTCGGCTTGCCGAAATTTGCTTCCTTTCTTGTTTAATGCCAAATCGGTAACTTTTTATTAAATTAAGAGGTTTCGTACCAATGGATTCTTTGATGTATTATCGGTAATCACAACTAATGGCTTCATCCAGGATTCTGCGCCTTTGATTAGAATTTCCTGCGTATTATTTGACCCAAGATCGCCAAACAGAGATTTTAAATCAACGTTAACCCATTGGCCAAGTCCTGACGGAATACTTTGCCGAAACTCAAACATTTTGACTTTATGAGTAAAGCTTGTAGTATTTGCCCGCTTTGCAGCACGGTGGATGGTCACAACAATTTCTTTACTTGGCTGGTTTTTAATCTCTTCAACGAGTTCCGGTTGATGGCTGTTTATCCAGTCCCACCCACGTAAATATAAATGAAGCGTAGCGTATGATAACTCCGAGTAGGTACTGTCAATTTTAAACCGAAGAACATCGGCTTTGCGATTGTGTCGGACATGTGGTTGAATTTCTAAGTGGACGAAATAAAACAAATTAATATCATAAAAGTTTTAATTATTAATATTAAGATTTAAAATTGATATATTAAGTTCGTTTTTCAAAAAAAGAAAATAACGGTATTAATGCCTTGTTACTATAATTTAAAAAGGCTTGCAGATGCCCCTCAAGGAATTTTATAATTTAAATATTTTGTGTAACGCAGTGAGCCGAAAATTTCGCCCTGTTCAACAGTTCGTTTAGTCGTTTGGGCAGAAGTTTGTAACACAGTAAAGGAGACATTTCCGACCCTGTAAAATATATATATTTTTGACCAACATCATCAGGCGAGACGATTTAGCCATGTCCGTCTGCCTGTCTGTCTATGCATACATACGGAATACATATTGGTCGTATTGAATCTGTACAAAAAAACTTCCTTCTTTTTGCTTTACGGCGCCTAAACTGGGATGCAAACCTTATCTTACTTTCTTATTCTAGTAGACTTCTTTTGATTAATTTACCATCCCTAGCCAACCGTAGAACGATGCTTGGTACTATCTTTATTTATAACCTTATACATGGTGATATTGACTCCCCCGACTTGGTAAGTTGGCTAAACTTTTCTGTGTCAAGTGGATTAACTAGAAATTATATTCCCCTAATATGAAATCACCGTAATTCTTACTATGACTTGCATGAGCCTTTCAGAGTATTATGTTCTGACTATAATAGACTTTTTCCTATAATCTGAAATCTTGACTCTCTGCCGCTCCTAAAACGATTAATACTACATTGGCACAAAATTGATCTTACTATTACTTTTTTCCCCGGACTTTTATCTATATTTCCTTATCTCGCGTGTATCCTCTCGCGAATCGTGATACACGGCTGCGCCCCTCGGTCGGCTGGACGGGTAAGTGAACCGTGAGACTCCGCGCGAAAAAAAAAAAAAAAAAAATATGCATGTACTCTAGTCATTTTGTATTTGATCCCGAAAATCGGTTTTAATATAGCAAATAGCTATGATAACAACAATCGGAGAAAATAATTGAAAAGAAAATGTATTTGGCATCAACAGAACACAATTGTTTTTAAAATTTTGTGCACGAACATAGCTGTACTATCGTTTAATGGAATACTTAATTTTTGTTACAGGTAACAAAATAAATACAAACTTCATCAAAAGGTTCTGTTAAATACCATCAGCAGAGAGTTTTTATAACATCCAAATCTTCTGTTCAACACTACTCTTTTCCAATTAATTGTACAAATTAATCTAAATAAAAACATAGTTCATTTCGGTCAGACAGTTTTTTCAAAGCTTAATTGTTGTATGATTTTGTCAATATCTAAGTACAATTAATCCGATACTACTTCATCAAATAAAATATATATAGCAAATCCATCTTGTCGTATTTTAATTTCCAATTCCTTTTTTTGCTCATGCACACAAATTCATATATTTTCGTGTTTGATTTCTATATCAACAATCATTCACGCAATCTCATTTGCAAGTAATTGTACAAGTCCATCTAAAAAAAAACATACTGCAATTCCATACGTGAATTATACCCACAGTTACAAAATATTATGTTATAACAAATTAAATAATAATTGCCTTATAATAATAATTAAAGCATGCGAGTCACAATTTTTTGTTTGAGTTTCTCTTCTTGATTCTTTAAAGAGTCAATTTCCGGATCCCGACTAAGTTCCAGACTGTGTGATTAGATACTGCGATGAGACCATGTGTAGACCACTAAACCTTATGCGTAGATACGTCTTACATCTCTCTCACTTGAAAAATATTTAGAGCAAGTCAATGCCTACAAATCCTTGCAGTTTCTTCAAATCTATCAGATGTCAGTCTAAATCTTAAGTTTGTTTAATGATTTTATTCTGATATCTAAAATTAGTAAAATATTTATACCAGTAAAAGTTTGAAAACTGATCGTTTGATTCCCCGTGTACTAACTTCTAAAATAAAATGGTATTTGGATCACAGACTTTATAAGTTTTTTTTAAAAACACGAATAAACAAGAAAGGAAACAAATAAAAATAAAATAAAATATTATATTTTTCGATGCTTAAAAACAATGAAACTAGGTAGATTTTTTGTTACATTTTTCGATCGTTCCTATTATTATAGTCGTCAGATTTTTATAAAAGGAAAACAGTAATTCTGAAATTGTTAAATAACTCTATAATTTGCCTGTCATAAAAGCGAAATAAAAATTTAAAAAATGCAATTAATTATTAAGAAAAGAATAACAAAACTAGTTATTGATAAAATTGTGTTTTTGAAAGATTCATATGTATACTTTTTACATTTTTTCTAAAACATTTTTTGAAATATCTCATTTTTTTGTGAAGATTGAACTTGATGTAACCATCACAATGTTATACTTCTTCTTTCATTCTTATTCCAATATTAATAACCTTATATTATAAAAGAAAACGGACACGAAGTCCGAATATAATAAAGTGGTTTTTGATTTCGTATAAAAGCAGATTAGTTCCGCCCGGATTGACGACTCCAGGAAAAATACAAGAAATCAAATTCTAGATCGATCACGCAGGAGGGAGAAAAGAAATATAAGGAAATGGCCACATTGATAGGATGGCGTTACCGTTATCCTAGTGGAACGGAAAGATCCTTCCCTAATACATAACCCACATAGTGGAACGGAGAGATCCTTCCCAATTAAGCCAATTATCGTAGGGTAACGGAAAGATCCTTTCCAAATAATTTAAACCTTTTAGGGGAACGGTGAGGTCCTTTCTAATTAATCAATTAAATTTGTATTAGTACACAAGAAATTCGGCTTCGGTTCGCTCGGACCTTTGAGCTAGCCGTTTCATTTTTGTTGGTGGTTTCATTCCTAATTAACTGATTAACCCTTTTTTTAGTCTACAGGGTCCAGCTCGTGAGACTTTCTGCACCATGGAATACGTGATATTTGAAGATTATGATTACCCGCGCATCCTTAAAAGTAGCGCCCGATCAGGGGCATTGAGGCCAGCCAGAAACACATCAAAGAGACATAAAGACCAATTAAAAATAAAATTATCTTAAAAATTTAATCGTCGGAGTTTTGTAAATGGTGGATGCAGAGGAACGAGTAGGTAGCTACAAAAGATATAAGAATAGAAAGAAGGAAATCAGCTTGCAGTAAAATACGAATAAAGCTGAGACTTCGCCTATGTCAGTGATCCATGGCCGACCCAAAGGAGTCCAATGGTATGATGAGTACGAAAAAACCGATTGAATTAAAAATCCAGGCGTAGGGGTACGATGGAATTTTGTCGGAAATACGCCCTAGAGGTCGAATTCAGATTCAGCGCTGATGGCGCCATGGTAGTGATGCATGCAGAAGGTTACGCTGTTGGGTAAGGGCCGCTCCCAGAGGTGATATGGAAACGGCACAATTACAGGAACACTACAGTCCTTGAGACCATCCCGACTGCCATATCCGAGATTTAGAAAGGTCGGGACGTTTAGAAGGACATCTTCCGGGTTTAGTAAAAACCGGTTGTATATAATTAACTCAGATGGCGAAAGAACACGAAAGCGGGATAAGGTGAGTTCACCACCCCTTTCGGAATCCCGATACGTTCTTAACATACGGTCAGACAGCCGATGCCAATCGTCGACGTAGAACAAGCGTGTGGAAGATGCGGAGAAGTCGGCCATTCCAGACAGGGTTGTACTAATACCCGATTGAATTTCGGTTGGGATTGCTGTCGCAGAAATAGACTGACTATCGAATGTTGTAAAAGAGATGCTCCGGGAAACGAACAACAAGAAACACCTCGTCGGATCACGGCTACAGTCACTTCGATAGCGTTGGCCGGCCGTAAGCTTAAATGTAAAATAGTTTTTGCGCACTTGTGTGAAATTAGCTGGCACGCGAGTAATGATTCTATTGATGGTTTTGCCCGCTACGTTGCATCCCCTGATATTAGGTATGTATTTCTTGGCCTCAATGGGTACACGAATACATTGCTAACAGTACGTCCTTCGGCGGAGGTCCCCCGACTACGGACGAGTAAGCTCGATTCAACACCGTCGGACGTTACGAGCTCGTAGGTATACTAAAGAGGCAGTACGGCTGCTTAGGAGGAAGAAGAATTGATCGGGGTCTCGCCATAAATAACATGGAAGGGGATGAGTCAACAGTATCATTCGCCAGATGACCACTCTCTTGAAATAAGGGTCTGTGGGATAACGGTTTGAGAACCGGAAAGGACCCCGCAGGGTTCTCGGCCAGACGAAGATTGTGAGACGACCCGAGACTCGAGCAACAAGAATATGTCGCACGCGAGTTAGAAGTCTTCGAGAAACTTCGGGAGGTATCTCATGTGGCGGAACATCAAATAATTATACGCCATGATACACCCTTGAAATGCATGTGCTTTGATTATCTACCTTTGAACGCTCATTCAGTGCCTGACGCATACCCCGTCCCCAGAATCAATCATATCTTAGAAAAATGGCGGCAAGTCAATCATCGTATTTAAACACTGTTATTAGCAGATAACCGAGGCTCAGGATAGCCGTCAAATCAAGACCTTCATGGTTACAGGTAAAGGTCTAATTTAGTGCAAACTTAATTCAGTCAGCACAACCTTTCAACGCGCCTTAGATAGTGTGAACGGGGTTCGCCATCGCCTTTTCGAACGATATTATTGTCATAGGCGAGCAACACCTATTTAATATGACCGAATTCCTTCGTAGATTTTGGATGGAGAATTTAATTGTAAGCCGCAAGAAGTCCGCGCTCTTTTGAAAGAAGTAAGTCTACCCAGGCTACGTGATTAGTGGCGAGGGAGTTCAAACTGAGCAGGAGAGAGTGACGGCTTTCACCAATTTAAATTCTACTCGCAGTCTTAAAGAACTCCGACAATGGCTTGGTGTACATCGAAGGTTAGGAGAAAGTCATTGCCTACGCCAGCCGTCCGCTTACTGCTACTGAGGGTAACTATACAACAACAGAGAAGGAGTGTCTGGTAATTATATAGGTCATTAG